CGTCTTTTTGTTACAATTTAAATTGGTTTAAATGAATTTAAAATGACGAAAGTTGTTGCTGATTTCGTTTCGTAAAATATATTTTTTTAAAAATTATGTTTTTCGTTTGTTCGAATAGTGTTTGTTGATGTTGTTGTTGTTTGTTATTCCATTTCAGGTTTCCCACTGGGAAGAAAAAAGAAAAAAAAATACAATTCTCGTAAAAAAAAATTTTTTTTTCTTTTTTTTTTTTTGCGAATAACCACCTTCGGGAGCCGTTTTTCATTTTCATTTTTTTTTCTCGTCTGCTACATTTTTTTTTGGGAAGGTAGGAAAAGCGAGCTTTTTAAAAAAAAAAAAAAAAATACTTGACCCGTAAAAATGATTATTTATTATTATTATTATTATTATTTTTTTTATTTTTTTTATTTTTCTCTTTCGCGTTCACTCCTGTTGTGAAATTTCTCTCGCATGATTTTTCAAAATCGCGTCAGCAAACTTTTCTAATCATTAACTTTTTCTTTTGAATTTCACACACACACACCCGCTCCCCCCCGTGTTTAAGTATCGATACTTGAAAATCCGAAAAAAAAATTAATGGATGAGTTTTGAATAATAATAATAATATTGTTCTTAAAAAAAAAAAAAAAAAAAAAACGCGGTTGTTTTTAATTCTCGAGAATAAAACTCGTCGTCATTTTGAAATTTCGTCGAACGTATTTTTTTTTTTTTTTTAAACCAAAGGGAACGAACGTTGTTTGTTGATAAATTTATTTTCCTTTGATTTTTCCCTTTTTTTTTTTTTTAATTACAAAAATTCGGTTTTAAATTAAAAAATTCGATCAAAGGAAAAAAATTATTAAAATTTTTTTTTTGATTTTTTTTGTTTTTTTGAAATGTAAGCGAGAGCGAAAGAAAATGGATGACGATAAAAGTAATAATAATAAATGGAATTCAATAATCGAACGTGAAAATTCCGGTAAAAAAAAAAGGAATGATAAACAGAAGAAAGAAAAAAAGGAAATAAAAAAAAAAAAAAGTTGTAAAACGTTTTGTTCGTTTTTATTGTTCATTTTCATTTTATTTGTTTGTTTTGCGACAAATTCATTAATTGGTTGCGGTGTCATGAATTACAATTTGGAAATAATTTATTGTCCGAGAATTATTATTATTATTATTATTTTTTTTTTTACTACGATTTTCAATTAGTGATTTGGCGTGACGACAATTTAAAAACAAAAAAAAAAAAAAAAAGAGAGAGAAAGAAAAATTTCGGTTTCTACGAATGTTGTTGTGTGTTTCTCTCTCTCTGTCTCTCTTTTTGTTGTTGTTTGTTGTTTGTACGAACGATTAATTCGATCCTTTTAATTTTTACATTTAAATTTAAAATTTCGATGAAAGAAAACGTAAAAGAAATGAGATTTTTCGACGAAAAAAAAAATTGCGCGCGAAAATTTAACGAAAGTAATTTTTTCAGTCTCTCCCAATCCGAAAAAAAAATGCAGACACAATAATAGTTATTATAATAATAATAATAATAGGGCTTACGTCAGAATGAATTATTGAATTGTTAATAATAATAATAATGATGATTGTAATCGTATAGTACTCGAATCAAATTCCAGCGACGATAGATAAGAAAAATTGACAATTTTGTTTTTGTTTTTTTAATGAGGTTCAAATTAATATTATTATTATTATTATTATTATTATTATTATGACGTAATTAAAAATAAATGATTTAACGGGTCGGCAATTACTTTTAAAAGTAATAAAGCTATCGGTCTATTGTTAATTTTTATTATTCATACGCGAAATAAAAAAATAATTTTTTTTTTTCCTCATTATCGTGGGGGGAACGAACACTGTCGTACGAGAAAATAAAATAAAAGGAATTTTTTTTTTGTACCTGGAATTAAAATTGCGCGTCCTTTTTTTTTTTTTTTTTTTAATAAAAAGGTGGTTTTTAGAAAAAAAAAAAAAAATTCATCTTTTTCATTTCGTTTGAAATGTTGAAATGTTTAAAAAGAGAAGAAGGAATTCCACCGGGATTTATTCCCGTTTTTAATTTTTTTTTTTCCTTCTTTATTTTGCTTGACAAACTCGTTGGAAAGCGAACGGATTTTTAATCTTTGAGATAAAATTAAATATTCAAATGGGATCGTTGGTTTATATATATTTATATATATATACTAAAAAAGAAAAGTCAATTAATGTTTTTTAAATATGGATGAATGTTGAAAAGGAAAAATGGGAAAAAAAAAAAAAAAAAAAAAAAAAAAAGGTCCATACCTTAAAATTGGGGGGGGGCGGTGTCGTACATGGGTGCGTGAGATGAGTCCGTTTGTGAGAGACTTCGAATTTTAACGATTAATTGACTAATTAACATTTTTGTGATGTTCCCCAAAGGAAAACGACAGAAAAAGTAGGAAAAAAAGAAAGAAAATGGAAAATGTACTTATCGACGAAATTGTTATATATATATATATATAAAGAGGAAATAACAATGGCGAATGTTTTATTATTATTATTATTATCATCGTCCATTGTTTTCCATTTGGTTTTTGTACAAATTTTTTTTTGTTTTTATTTCTTTATAAAAAATTAAGTTTTTTTTTCGTTTTTTGTTTTGTTTTTTTTTTGTTTATTTTTCATTTGTAATTTTTCGTTGTTCTAACAGATCTGGTTTTTTTTAAAAAAAAAAAGCGAAATTAAAAATTAAATGTTTAAAAACCAAAAACAAAAACATAACAAAAACAAAACAAAAACATAAACTTTTCAAAAAATAAGAGAAAAAATTAAAAGCTTTTTTTTTTTTTATTTTAATTTTTGTAACGTAATTTTTTTTTCTTTTGAAAAGGAAAATAATAACGTTTTTTTATTTTTTTCATTTCTTTTATTTTTCTCAATCTTTTTTAAAAATAAAATTGTCATGTTTAAATGATGACGGAAGAGAGAGAGAGAGAGAGAGAAAGAAAAAGGAGAAAGAGTGACACTTATTGTATTTTAACTGCTAGCCAGCAGAAAAAAAGCGAGAGAGAGAGAGAGAGAGAAACGACGAATGCAAAATTTAAAATTTTTCAATGTTTTCCGTAATTTTGTTTATTAAGAATTTTTGTTTCTGCGGGAGGGGGGCAAAAAATATATTAGGGGCTGTGAAAAGGGGGGGTTTTCGCATTGGAAAAAAGAAATTGGTCATCATTGGTAAAATCGAAATCGAATGATTTAATCCCGTTGATGATGATGATGATTATAAGAAAGAACCAATGAGATTATTAAATTTAACGGGTAAAGATTTTTAATTAGGCTAATAATAATAATAATAATAATAATAATAATAATAATAATAATAATAATAATAATAAAAGCCAACGGCCATAGCGTGCTGGTCACACCGGTTCCCGTACGATCACCGAAGTTAAGCAGCATCGGGCGTGGTGCAAACTTGGATGGGTGACCGTTTGAGAACGCCACGTGCTGTTGGCTTAAAAAAAAGAGCAAAAAAATGAGAACAAGACAAAGTAAGAACCAAAAACAAAATCTTGTTCTACTGTCGACCTGAGGCAGCTCGACGAGAATGTGAATTTCACTGCTTCTGACCCTGGCCACTCCAAAGATGTTAGTCACCGGAGCCCAGGTCAGGAGACAAATCGTTCCCATCGAATAAAGATGGACTCAGGAAGACCTTCAAGAATTGATGTGGTGCTATCTTATAATAAGTGGCACCACCGAAATTCGAGTATTTGTCCCTAAGGAATCGGGTAGAAACCTCGGATAAATACTTAAAAAACCCCGACAAGTAGCCTTGTCGTGTTTAATGGTGGATAATAATAATAATAATAATAATAATAATAATGTTTATCTTTCCTGAAAATAAATTTTCGCTCGTTTCAATCAATAAATTGTTTATTTAATATCAAAGTTTTGCACAGGAATGTTTTCGCATCGGCATCATCACTATTATTATTATTATTATTATTATTATTATTATTATTATTATTATTATTATTATTATTATTATTATTATTATTAATATTATAATGCCCTATAGAGGAAAATATTGATTTTAATGCGAATAACTTTTTGAAAAAAAAAAAAAATTTTTTAAATGTGTTGGATGATGTGAGAAAAATTATTTTGTTTTTTTTTTAAGCGATCGGAAAATGCTTTTCTTTTTTCTTTTTTTTTTTAATGTTGATGTTTTTAAAACTTTTTTTTATGAAAATGTATCCTGAAAAATTTTTCAAATTTAGAAAGACAAACAATTTTCAAAAGAATCTCTCTCTCTCTCTCTCTTTTTTTTTTTTTTAATTTTTAAGGATTTATTAGGAAGAGAATTTTTTAAAAAATTTTTCGGGGATTGATTGAAATTAATAAAATTATTTCAAGAGTTTGGAAAACCTGGAAAAAATTTTTTTTGTGTTTTTTTCCTTCAAATTATCGAGAATCGTTTTATTAATAATTTCAGTATAATTTAAACTAAATGGAAACTTTTCTTTTTTCTTCCCTCCCATCACGAAATGTAAATGTAAAAATTAAAAACAAAACACGAAATATTTTTCTTCCGGTATTATTCCTAGTAGTAGTAAAGTAATTGTAGTAGTGGCAGTAGTAGTAGTAGGAGTAGTAGTGGCAGTAGCAGCAGAAACAAAACTTAATAAAAATTAACAAAAAAAAAAAAAAAAAAAATGGGTAACGATTGTTTCTCAAACAATCGGTCAAGTTCTCGGAAATGATACATTAAAAAATTTATACGTGAATTTTTTTTTTTTTTTTTTCGTTTCACCCCCTTTTTTTTTTGTTTGTTTGTTGCAATTACGATTGTCGTATTTAATTGTGTGTGACGAAAGAAAAAAGAAAAAGTTTAGAGAACATGAAAAGCGGTAGAGAGAGTGAAAGAGAGAAAGAAAGGAAAATCGATGTTAATAAAATTAAATTTTTTAAAATAATTTTTTCTTTTTCCATTTTGCAGATATTTAGATGGAGTTGGAAGAAATGTTGGAGAAAAACAGTTCAATAAAATGCACACATGTCAAGTTAGATGGAAATTAGATATTATTATTATTACAATTTTTTTTATTTTGTTTTTTGCGCCTAAAGCGGAATTGAAATGTGCCGGAATCGAGTCTCCATTTGGTGAGTAAATTTTTTTAAAAAAATTGTTTCTCGTCCCCTCCCCCCACCTCCCACGAAATTTAAAAAAAAAAAAAAATTTTAAATTTCCGATTTGAATTATGAATTTTCAAAATTTTCTTTTTTTTTTTTTTTTTTTTTTTTTCAAAATTAATTTTCCCCCATTTTATTATTCGTTTGTATTATTATTATTTCTCTTTTCGAATAAATTACATTTCATTGTAAAATCTCTTGCTCGAATGGCTTAGGCGGGGGGGCGGGGGGAGGAAAGGGGAGATTAGGAAAGTTTTCACGAATTTCCTCGATCGATAAATTATTTTAAAACTATTTAAAAAAAAAAAAATTTTTTTTAAACTTTTGGTTTAAAAACTAAGAGAAATTTATTAAAAATTTATCGTTCGATTTTTATTATTATTATCATCATCATTATTATTATTAATTTTTTCCGTTTGTTCGTTTCGTTAATCGTTTGTCGAGTTTGTCGAATCTCACTTTCGGTTAATAAAAAAATTTTCCGTCAAATATTTGACCGAAACGTAAAAAAATTTTGGGGGAAGAAGTTCATCAGTCTTAGTCCACGTGTATCAAAGCCGTCATCATCATCATCATTATCCCTTATGTTTGCAAACAACGAAAATGAATAAGTTTTCGAAATTATTATTATCATTATTATTATTTTTTAAAAGGAATGAAAATGAAAACCACACACGCACCCACCGAAAAAACGAAAAAAATTTTTTTTTTTTTCGGGGAGAGGTCATTAATCGGTAGAAATTTCGTTCGACAACGTTTTACAAAAAATTTTCATCGCGTGTTCAGTCGGTCGTTTGTAAGAGAGAGAGAGAGAGAGAGAGAGAGAAAAGACCCGGGGGGCTCTGATGATGTGTCAGGTTTTTTATATTAAGTTATGTTTTACGTTTCAAATAATAAAATGAAATGAATAGAGAGAGAAAGAGAGAGAGAGAGAGAGAAAATTGCAATTCAAATGTCGAATGATAAATAAAGAGAATAATAATAATAATAATAATGTTTTAAAAATATATTTTTTTTTTTTTTACTGCAAAGGAAAGAAAACATTTGAAGAATTACAATTTATTATTATTATTATTATTATTATTATTCTCTCCTCGCCGCGACACTTTTTACGTCGAGATTTTTTTATACATCCGTATACGACGACGACGATGATGATGATGATGATTCCACCTGAAAAAAAACTCGTAAGAAAATAAATAAATACTTTGTTGTAAATTCTCATTGAAAAAAAAAATAATAATAATAAATTATACGTATTATTATTATCATCAATAATTATTTTTCATTTGCGGGGAAAAATTCACTCGTTCTCTCATACATTCATTCATTCATTCAATCAATCAATCATTTTATTTTTTATTTTCCAGACATTCTTCCATCGGGCGATCACATAATTGAACACGGAACGACGTTGGAATTATATTGCAGGTTAAACACGAGTTTTCCCGGAGTCTCGGAATACAATTCGGGAAATTTAAATTTTTATTCGTTGGATAGGAAAAACAAATTTATTTTGCCCAACGTTACGATATTAAACGAGACGACGATAAAAGTAGACATCGTAGATCCGCCACTGGGATCCACGTATTATTATTGCGCTCTCAATGATACAAACGATTGTTTGACAAACGTTCAAGTCGGTTGTAAGTATTTTCTTCTTGGGAAGTACAAACGAACAAAATTGGAATCGAAATTGTCGATATCCCTCTGTCTCTGTGTCGTGCACACGCACACGCACACACACACAACATACACGTTGGAATTTGAATATAAAAAAGTATTAAGAAAGAGAGGGAGGGATTGGGGGGTGAAGATGTAAATAATTTTAAAGAGCGTAAACGTTCGTTTGACATGTTTATTTATTTTTTTATTTATTTTTTTTTTTTTAAAGCACGTGCGTAAAATATTTGAATTATAGGAGGGATTATAAAGGGCTTGGATGGAAATGAGAAAATAATAATAATAATAATAATAATAAGTTTTTTCTTCTTGTTCAGATAAACCACAACCCGTACTGAATTTTCAATGCAATTCTTTTAATTGGGAAAGGTTGTATTGTCAATGGACGCCACCTGAGAATCCAATCAAAACCATTTACAGACTTAAATATTCTCTTAATGGAAGAGCCGGAAGGTAAGTGTCACCAAATATTTTCTTCCTGTTTGTTTTGACGGTTGGTTAATACGACGAGAAATCTCGTCGCCATTTTTTTTTTTTTCCGATGCGAAATAATCATCATTTATTTTTGTCCACGTGGCAGCAATTAACCGGCGTTTGAAATTTTCTTTTCTTTTTTTTTTCTTTCTCTCTCGACAGGATGTAATAATTTTCTTCTTCGTTAATTTAAATTAAATTTTTTTTTTTTTTTTTTTTTTTGGTGCCGGGAGACATATTTATTTTTTTAAATTAAGGTGGATTTTTTTTTTGGAGGAGACATGCAATGGGATTTTGTTTCTTAGAAATAAACGTTCGAATTTATCTCAACGTTTAATTTAAATTTTGAAACGATTATTGTTATTATTATTATTATTATTATTTAACGAAAGTGGGAAAGGAGGAAGGGGAAGGGAAGGAGAGGGAATTTTTTTAAAAAACCTGATGATGACCAACGTCTGAAAAAAAAAAAAAATTAATATAAATTCTTTCTCTCCTCGGGTGCTGCCAATCAAAACCGGTTGACCCGATGGCGTTTTTAACACTTTTAATTTTTTAGTTTTTTTTTTTTTTTTTTTTACGTGATTATTATCATTCGTAAAAATCGTTTCTGGAGAATTTTCCAACGTTTTTTTCCCTTCCTTTTCTTCTTCTTCCTCTTTGTTGCCCCTTTAAGAAGGTTTTTTTATTGGTATTTGAAGAAAAGGAAAAGAAGGAATTTAATGGTTTAATTTACTTAAATATAATTTTTTGTTTACTCGCGTCACGTGGTTCATTTTTTTTTTTTTCTTCTAAATAATAAAACGAAATGTTAAAAATTTAAAAGGAAAAAAAAAAAAATTTAATTGTTCCGATCGTGATTGTGTAGAGTCTATTATTATTATTTTTTTTTTTTTTTCAGGTTTATATATCCGTGTCCGAATGATTTGGATATAAAAAACAACAGTTGCGTGTACGATTTCGAAACAATACCCAATTATCGTCAGCCGTATGAATATTTTTTATTTGAAATAAGTGGGAAAAACGCGCTTGGAAATTATTCAAAAATCTACAAGTTCAATCATTACGCTCACGGTAAGGGAAAACCAAAAAAAATTTTTCTTTTTTGATTTTATCGTTCGTAATAATTTGCTTCTCATTATTATTATTATTTTTTCTGATTTTCAGTCATACCGAACAAGCCGGAAAACGTAACGGTTTTAAACAAAACAGTGGGAAGCGCTCTCATCAAATGGAATATTCCGTATCCCCTTTTTCACTTTCCTCCCGGTTTGAGACTGAAAATTGAATATAAAAATAAATGGGAAGACTGGGTGGTGAGTATTTTTTTTTTCTTTTTGATAATATTATTATTATTATTGTTGTTGTTGCTATCATTTGCGTTCGATTGCGTTCGCGTTCGTGTAATTTTAAGAAGTTGATTTAGGGGGGAAAAAATTCAAACGGTTGGAAATGCCTTTTGTTAATTCGATTCTGGGGTTTTTTTTTTTTTTTTACAGGACGTGAATGTCGATTATTCCGAAAGGATTTATGGTAAAAATTACACGTACAACATCACCGGCCTTAAATACTCTCACACTCCCTACGACGTGCGAATATATTTGAAATCGTACGCGGCAAAATCTGGTCCGAATGATTGGTCCTTGCCAGCTTCTATAACTTTTCTAACGTCTTCTACAGGTTGGTACTATGATCTGGTTACTACTACACGTCATATATTTTTTTTCTCCCTTTAAAAAAAAAAGGAGAAAATAATGATGATAAAAACTAATTAACGAATTTTTTTTTTTTTTTCCGGGAAAGAAAATGATAGAAAAATAATAAAGAAATAAAAACCGAACGAGAGTTTTTAACTCCCGATTTTAATCCTGGAAACAAACGAAATTCCTTTCCACATCCGCAGTCTTTTTTCCTTTTTTTAATTTTTTCCTTCGGGAGAACAATGTAAAAAAAAAAAAAAACTCGGCGATTATAATTAAGTTTATGTAATTCGACGGTAAAATATTATTTAATTGTTATTATTATTATTATCGTTGATAAATTTATAAAATGGTTGCGTTTAATTTTAATTTTTTTTGTTTTTTTTTCCTCCCTCTCCGCTTTCTCTCAGTGCCAAGTTTGGCTCCGCTTACAACCCAGGGTTGTTTCGACATCGTATCAAATGGTAACAACGACACGGATGTTTTTATTTATTGGGCCAGGATACCGGAAAAATTCGAAAACGGTGACAATTTTAATTACAACGTCATATGTACCAAAGACAACCACAAAGACTGGTAATTAAAAAATTTTTTTTTTTTTTTTTTTTGTCACGACGGGTCATGGATTCGCGACAACCTAACCAAAAGTTTATTATTATTATTATTATTATTATTATTATTGTATTTTATTTAATTTAGCGGATTGCCATTGGAAAAATCAATTACGTACGCAAAATTTCCAATAAGTAATCTTCACAGTTACACGTTCACAATTTATTCCGTCAACGAAGTGGGACGTTCCGAAGACAATTCTTTTGTTTACGTGTCCAAATATGGAAGTGAGTGTATATTTCATGTGATGTCGTTTAATTTTTTTGTTTTTCACGGGAAATAATTCGTTTTCTCTCTCTCTCTCTCACCCACTCGAAGGTTTCATCCAACCTGAAAGTTTCACTAAAGTCGCTTACGATCAAGGAGTTTTCGAACTGTCTTGGAAACCCGTCTCCCACAAAGATCTTAGCAATTATACGATATTTTGGTGCAAGGAAGATAAAGATTTGCCGGCGCCGTGCAAGGTACGTCGAAATAATTTTTTTTTTTTTTTTTTTTTTTTTGCAAAAGGGGGGTCGTCGGAGAGTACAATTTTTTTTTCCGGTAGGGCTACCTTGATTGGGTGACAGTACCGAGAGATACAACGAGCAAAAACATAACGATGACGGACGTGACAAAATTTTACAAGTTTGCCATATCGGCGAATTTAATCGATGGAAGCAGTAGCGGAATGATTTGGTCTTCATGCGTTATTTTTCACGACAAGGGTAAATTGAAAAACTTTTTTTTTTTTTTTTTAACTACTCTAAATTGCACGCCATTAATATCAAACCATCCTTCTCTCTGATCAGTTCTTAAAAAAGTCGATGATTTTCACATATCGAGAGTGAGTTCGAGAGAAATCGATGTCGTTTGGGAAATCAGATGCGCTCAAAGTTCTGCCTTTAAAGGTTTTGCTTTTTACTATTGTCCCGTTGGATTTTCACATCAAGACAATAATTGTATCGGTAAGAAGACAAAAAACTTTCAAAATTGTTTCAATAATTCACTCGAGTTCTTCATTCATTCATTTTTTTTTTCTTAAGGCAACGCGACGGAAGAAATAGCCAAAATAAACGGATCTCAAGTTAGAAACGTGACTTTAAAAAATTTAAGGCCGTACACAACTTATAAATTGCAAATATCAATAATTTCATTGGATGGATCTCAACAAATGCAGTTAGGGCCGAGGAGTATGGCCAAAAGATTTTTCACCTTGGAAGATGGTATAAAATTTAATTAAAAAAAAAGATGTGACGAGTGAGATGTGGGAGTTAAAAAGGGATTTTTCTCATTTCAGCCCCCAGCGTTCCCCACAATTTCGTCGCTGATTCCGTCACCAACGATTCCGTCACTTTAAATTGGGATTTACCCGAAGAAATGAACGGAGTTTTACAAACGTACAAATTGTACATAGAGTATCCAGGGGGTGAAAAGAAAATAAAATTTGACGCACGGGTACGAATTTATTTTCAGATTTAATTTTTTTTTTCGTTGCTCCCCCCCCTCCTCCCTTAAAAAGTCTAAATTTTTTTTTTTTTTTTTTTGTTCTCTGTACGAATTTCAGAATTTGTCGGATAATTCATTCATAAATAAATACAAAGTTAAAAATCTCGTCGGACACACGCCATATAATTTCACTTTGAAAGTGTGCACGAGTTTAGAAAAATGTTCCGGACATTCAAAATCCGCGTTGGTCACGACTCAAGTCGGAGTCCCTGGAAAAATGATGAAACCTCAAGTTAGTTTAGTCAATCCAACAATGGCGGACGTTTCTTGGACTTTGCCCGATCCTCCCGCGGGTTCTCTAGACCTATACGAAATTTCCGTCGAACCCGACGACGATTCATCCGACGCGGAAATTTTCAACGTGACCGGTGGTATGCGTGCCAGGTTGGAATTTCAATCCTGCAGGGAAAAATATAAATCCGATTTTAAAATACGTGCCATAAATATCGATCAAAATAATTTTTACGTCGGACCCTGGAGTGATTCAACGGAAGTTATTTGCGGATCATCAGGTAAAAACAATAATAATAATAATAATTGAAAACTGTTATCACATGTGAATGACAATTTTTGTTTTTCCAGTTTGGGTTAAAAATAACGTACTTATCAATTGGGTGACTGGAACCATGATAATTCTCATTTCAGCGATTTGCGTCACTTGCATTATTAAAAAGTAAATAAAAAAAAAAAAATTTTTTTTTCCAATTTTATTTATTTATTTATTGAATGTGTTGTAAACGAATTTTAATTTTTGAAAAAAAAAAAAAAAAAAATTTACAGGGGATGGCTTCAGTGTAGAAAAATGAAAGATGTTGAAGTCAAACTTCCACCTGGTTTACAATCTCAGGTAATTTTTGCACGTGCAACCATTTTTTTTTTTTACACCTTTTCCATTTCTTTCTTAAGATTTTCGATTATTAATGTACGTACGTTCGTACTGCGGATTTTTTAGGAACTTGAAAAGGATAATCAAGATTACGTTCACTTGGAAAGATGGCCTCCGAGATCTCCAGACAACGTAAACGGGTCTGTCGGAACCGTGTTGGCTCCGGACGAGGAATCTCTCCTCGATAAGAAATCAGACGAAAGCATAGACATAACATCGTTTAATTTGCCACCGATAAAAAACGGTGGAGATTCTTCCGGTTGTTCCGTCGGACGCGAAAGCGTTTCTTCTTCCATAACGTCAGATACTCATATATCGTCAGATTCCGGAGCGGAACCGGATCAGGTTCGAAAAGATTTTTTTCGAAAAAGAATTGATTAAGCCACGTTTTAAAAAACATAATAATGATAAAAACGTTTTTTTTAATTTTTCAGTGCACAATAACGTCCAACGGTACGGATCGTTGGAATTCTCTTAACAGAAATGCAAACAATCCGAGAAATATTCCTGCCAAAGAAATAATAAATTTTCCAGAAGTCGGAGGAGATTGGGGGGAGCTGGGCAGTAACGCCATTCCAAGGTAAAAACCTAAAAATTCTACCGGGGGAAAAAAAAAAAAAATGCAATGTGATGAATTTATTAAACTCGAAATATGAATTTTTATATTTCAGGTACACAAAAGTAGGATTTACAAATTACACTCCCGAAAGAAATTTACCCGGCAAGGGATACGTCACAATCGCCAGCGTACAATCTGCTAATCCCGCACAGATACCCGGAAGCAACGACGCGATAAATTCCATCAACGGAGATAATAATAATAGTTTAGCACGAAACGGTTCGATCGATGAGAGCAGCAGTCTGGACGAGTCGTCGAATTCGAACCTAAGCGTAAAAGATGCTCAGATAAAAGATGAAGCGTCTTTGACCGGACCAAAATACGTATCATTAGCGCATTTCAAGGGACAAAACACGGGTGAACCCTCGGCATCTGTGAGCAGTGGAACGAAGTAATTAAATTTGACAAATGGAACAAAAATAAAATAATAATGATAATAATAATAATAATAATGATTTTTTTTGCCACGTTTGATGTGTAGGTCATTTGTAAACGAGTCGCCAAATTTATCTCGTCGAAATGACGACGTTTCGTCACTGCAAGAGGAAGATAAGACTGATGAAACCATCGACGACGAAGATTTCTCAGGTAGCGAGACTGAAACAGAAACAATTCACGAAGTGCCTATAATTAGAAATTTGATTGCCATGCCTGCGTATGTGAGCATAGCAGATAATCCGAAACCGGTCGTCGTCGATTCCGTCAAAAGCGAAACGGAAAAAATGAAAGAGAGTGAAATGAGAGGAGAGGATTATAGGGGGGAAAAAACGGTTGCGAACGGGGATATTTGCGCGACGGACGTCAACGGTGTCGGCGACGGTGGCGACGACGGGAACGAGAACGGGAACGACGACGACGTTCGACGACAACATTCTCTAGAAATAAACGGAGTAGATGATGTAAATAATGTAATTAAAAGTGATAATTTGATAGAAATGAAAAAAAAAAACACAAAAGAGAACGGATCTCTCTCTAATTATATTCCCCACCACATATTCGCAAAAGAACCAGTTCATACTTAATCTAGTACAATTGATAACGAATTAGATGTAGATAACAAACAAAAAAAAAAAAAAAAATTAGTTCGTCGGGTTTACCGTCGTTTTATTATAAGAACGAGAACAACGAGAGCGTTCGGCGTTCGCTCCTTCGAAATCATTCAAAGAGTAACTGATATCCGTTACAAAACGGAAAAAAAAATTCTGAACAAAATTTTCTTTTTGTAATTTTTTGACGAAAAAAAAAAAAGGCACAAAAAAATTAAATTACGAGGACGTTTTAATGGCGCGTACGTTCGCGCGTTCGCGAACGTACGCCCACTCCACGCACAATCGTCATTCATCATTTATCAAATTCATAAAAGAAAATAATCGATGACGTTGCCGTTGATGACCTTGAAATCGCCATTATAACCGGAACCGGAAGTTATGCAAAAAACGGTTTTTCTTTTTTGCCAATCTTTACTTTTTCGTTTATGTATTTTACTTTCGTTTGCAGTCGGGTTATTTTTAATAATAATAATAATAATAATGATGATGATGATGGAGGAGCATTTAATTAAATTTGAGAAAAAAATAAATAAATAAATGAAGGCCGTTCGTTAATTAATATATATTTATGTATATAAATTATAAATATTACGAGATGTGTGTGATGTTTACGTGGAAAAGTCCAAAAGAAAAAAAAAAACAAGATGGCCGCTTAGCGTTGCGAAAAGCTTTGAATGTTTTTTTTTTTATAAA